ATTTTTCTCGAAATTGACGAATTTGTTCGCCTTCTTCATTACCAAGAAACTATTCCCTATCTGCACTTCCGCTTTTTGAATAAAAATTGGTACCTCAAAATCATCGTGAACTTGCCTTCAAGTCTAGACGGCTGTGGCGCCCAACGCAAGTCTCATCGCGCGCGGCAACGTGAGAACGAATTGTTTTTGGTGGTGATGAATTAGGGACGTGCAGGTGTTGACGGATTCGTTCCAAATGATTCGTGCACTCTTATCAAGTCAGACGCAAGTTTTCGTAGGCAGTTACTTTGCCAACAGGTCATTTTGTACCAGTAATTGTAACTCAAACCCATGCTACTGCATAACAAGTTGAGTTAGTATAAACGAGAAATTATCACCCTTCGGAAGGAGCCCTACTCAACGCATTCCTCATCCACCGCTTCATGCATGCTTTACAGTTTAAGTAGAAGGAATGGTTCGGGTGCCGCTCTGACCCCTGTAATTTAAGGATCAGCCCTTTCCTACCCAAACCAGCTCTCCCATTCCTGTGGATCAGCTAGATGGCCCAGTGGTTATTTGAGGCAAATTTTGGCTTTGGTTGGCATTTGTAAATCGCTGCTTAGGTCATGGACTTAGACGCCACCTGGGATGATTAATTAGTTTACAGTTACGGGAGCACATGTTCTCGGGAACCGAATTACACTGTATCGACGAACAATGGACGTTGTGAAATAAATGGTCATCACTGATAAACCTTACTGTAAAAAACGGACATTTTAACTGCCCTATTTTCAGCCACTGAAAATCAAACAAATCAGTTCATGAAACGTCGTGAAAAGCCAGATTATCGTGGCCCCTTACAGCATGACCCCTCAACTAACCGTATGACGATTATCTTATGATCAGTGATTGATATGTGCTAGATCAATCACTTCCGTATTACACTACTTGCGCAAAGTTATAAAAACATGCAAAGTTCGCTCTTCGACGGGTTTGAATCAAGTAAGAAATCATCTGTACTTTGAAGATTACGTAGTTGGTCTCTTTTAGAGAATGGCTCTCCAAAAGTTCTTCGAAAAGCTAAGAAAAAGAAAATTAGAGCAGCGCTTTCGTGCTTGACTGTAATAGAGATCCTTTCACTAACGTCCAGATACCACTACCGTTTATACGATTCCCTAACAACATGTAGTACTCAAAGTAGGTTCGTAATGCTACCTTACTCAACAGAATTTCCTCAAAAATTCCCTCCTTATGGTGAAAAACCTTTCTAGAAATTGGAGTGTAAGGGGATCTCACAAGCTTGGCGAGTTAGGGCGAGTTATGGACAAAACTTCGACCTCGAATGGAACTCGGACCCATACTTGTGCTATCCGTTCACAGATAGCACAAGCACGAGTTCGATTCCTGCTCAAGGCCGATGTTTTGTTCATAAATCGCTGACCACGTGAGACTTTCGGATCACATACTGGGGCAATGTAACGGCAATTAACAAAACATCAATTCAAAACGAGTGAACCATACATTTTTTTGGCGTCAATTAGTTCAATTGTTGGGTTGGACCCCGCAACCAATTTCCATTCAGATCCAGTTTGGCGTTTTGAACGTTTATGTGGCCTATACTAACTGCAGTGCTCAGCCGATGTGCGAGTTAGTAGTTTTATCCTCCCAGACCAGCCTGGTACTAACTAACCCCTAAGAGAAAGAAAGCTTGGTTGACTCAGGTGGATAGCGATCCGCTATTCGATCCCTTGACCATGCTTCCGTGATAGAGCGCTATTGGCACTAGACCACACCCGCTCTTCTCTGAACGTATGTGCAACAAATTAAATCAAACACTAAAAAATGATTTTCATGCCAAACATTACCACTCCCCGAATGCCTAATTCGGTGTTCGGAAAAAAGCGCAGTGGCGACGTTATGGCTGTCCATACTTGGATCAGCGCCAACTAAATATAAATATCGATCCACAAAGCTGCCCACCATTGCTTTCGCACGTACATTCACTCCCCACTGATTACGTTCGTATAGATTTGAACGAAAAAATAGAGTTTTTGCCTTAACATTGTACAAGCGACTGGTTTAATAGTAAATTCATGCTGGATACCTTACCAAAACCTCTGAGACAAAAACCTCTTTGGGATCTTAGGTCCTTTGTGTGGCCCATCCTTAGCTTAACCCCATGGCACCGGACGCCCTTTATCGCAAAGCTCCTAGAGCCGTTTAAGCCATTGCACAACGATCCAGAAAAAATAACATCTGTGGGTTTACTGCTCAAACAGCTGGCTGTTACTATTATAGCTTTATGAACGGGAGTATGACGTTCGTTCCAAATTGCACATCGAATATCACCTTGAACGTACTAGTTTATTAATGAAAAAGTAGAAATCAGCTGCAGCCAACGTATTTGAGACGTTCGTACATCTTTTGGGTGGAAGATCATGTCTATTCCTTACTTTCATGTATGTCCTTGAGCCTAACTTGTATTACTTATTACTTACGAGTACTCGCAAATATACTAGTACTTTGACATGAAAGTACGAAACAGTAAAGTAACTTTCACCCTGTGTTACTTGGTATTGTTAAATTCATAGAGGAATGCATTATCAAAGATTTTGGTAATTATTGTTTTTCTTTGTTCCCTGGTCGTTCTCTGTATCTGACTCATGCCTAGCGACTGCCCGAATGATTGCTTCCAAAAAACTGAGGAAAGCCCTCTGGCTCTCAATGCCCCCATCGAAATGGGCACCCAAATTGCAAATCAGATATTCAATATGAATAACGTGGCTTACGTCAGCTTCCATGACGTCGACACGAGCTCCACATTCTTCCAATGTCGACTTAAGCTTTTCCCATTGTTCCATGGCTTTGGGTCGATTCACCCCACGTCGCATATCCATCCATGGATTGATCGAGTATGTCAGCTGAATCGAGTAGATCAATCGCAAATCAATAGATCAATAGAACCGTCAAAATAAGTAGGCCTAACTTGAAATAAATAATGTTAGATACCTGGAAGTACGTGGGACGACACATGAGGATTCTCTTTGTAGCCTTGGCAACATTCTTGAGCGGGGCACTTGCAGAAGCCATCTGCAGAAACCAAGTAGAACTTGTATAAACAGATGTTCAAAGCGCTTGAAATTAAAGGAGGCGTATAAGAGTAGTAAATAAAATTAAATTGTGATAGAAGATACTTTGACTATTGAATGCACCCAGTAAAGGTGTACGAATACTGTAGACGAAATAAAGTGCAATGTAATGGGGCGATGATGGAGGAATCTGTTCCCTTATATGGCATTGTGATGATGAGCGAAGACCAAAACACGACTGCGCGATGATGAGCGACGACGAGACGGCCGACCGTCGTGGGCTGGTGAAACGGAAAAGGAAGGGAACAGTGGTCGGTGAGAAGAGAATCGACGAAGGCGCACAGGCTGGCTCGGTCGGGCGGCCGTTCCTCCTGTGTGACATATCCATATCCCTAAATGAAGCGCCAGGGGCTGCACTGAATTGGAGATTTTGCAGCCGGTCTGCAAACGATGCACTGAGGTCTGCAGAAAGGGGGAGCATTTTCTTGGGGGCAGCCAAAAAATGGCATGTGCCATCCCGTGTCAAAACCGATTGGACTGATCTAGTCTGCCATAGCAGATCATCGCCATCAATAGCCATTAGCTAGAGTGTGGCCCGTAGATCTTCTCTTCTAATGGGAGGACTTGGGCTTCGATTCTGGGAGAGACAAATCTCTATATCTCCATCAGAAAGCCGTATCTATTGACGTTGGCATGCGAGGGCCCCAAACGACTTTTGGCAGTTGTGATTGAAGGATGAGCTGGCTCGGAGCTCAAGAGTACGTCAAATGGGCCTACGAGCCTAAAGTCGTTGCTATGAGAGTCTAAGTGCAGCAGGGCTTTACGTTATTGAAGATCTACTGGCTGTTTATGACGTTAAAGGGCAAAGTATCCTCGCCGTTAGCACTCATGGCCAAGTTCGAAATCAGTCAAAAGCGTCATAAAAGGACTTTTGGCTCCGTCGACAAATAGTCAATGGGTTACTAGTATGTAATTAAGTAATAGTCATCCGAGCACGAGCAGTTGGACTTCAAGTACACACTGGTTTAGCTCGTTTTGGAACCCTGACGGCAATCCTTCCTAGGATCGACCCAATTGTATCTAGGTAGGACTTCTACGGATCTGTTCGGTGAACGTGACAGGTTCTGTCCTCAGCATTTAGTAAAATTTTGCTAAATTGTTATGAAAATGAAAATGTATTTCATGCCAGAAAATTGGTCGGAAATTCTGCTGTTTAGATCAAGAATGCTGATCAAATGGGTTACTAGTATGAAATCAAGTAATTGTTATCTAAACAAAAGCAGTTGGACTTTTCAGAATTATCCATTCCCAAAGAGATCAGGGTGCCTAGTGAGAGATTCCTCCTCCCCCTACACTATTATTCGCTTCAGATCTTTCTGGATCACAAATGTAGAAATTAGCTACTTGCAATCAAATGGTGGAAAAGGTTCGTATATTGCTTCTAGTCGATTTTGTCTATTTTATTTGATAGATGGTCAGTTAACGGCAGATAACGTGATATTTACGGGCAGTACGACTTTTAAAAACCCGTTTCACACCTCTTCTTATTGGGCAAATTAGGCTCCTAATTCGTTGAATGATGGGCGGTAGGTTACGCTAGTTTGAAAAAAAGGTATGTTTTTTTTGAAAAATGAATGGAAGGTGTCGTTTTGACATGAAACCGGTCGAAGAAGAAGTTGGTTTCCATGATTTGCAATGTGATTTGTCTTCAACCGACACAATACCCAAAAAGATTTTCTGCACCAAGTTTTTCATCCGTAAATAGGACGAAAGCAATGTTCGATCAGAATTTGAAACGGGAAATAAATCAAATAATTCAAACTCTGATTCTGTTCTAGCTCACCATATATTATCTCGATATTTTCGGGGATTAATCAAACTGGGTGGGACAAAAAGGGTTCTTTATTGAACTGAGGGTCCTAGAGGAGTGACGTAGAGTTCTCAAACTCCAGAGAACTTCCAAATAGCTAATGTTTTCAGATGAAAGTCACGATCTAAACAATGAAATTGGGGCTTGACAGGAACAATTCCGAGACAGCTGAGAAGAGCTCTCCTAATGGAAATCGATATCTGCCGAGGGTTCAGGAAAAAACGGTTTTTTTTTTCAGAAAAGATTGCTGTTAAGCGGAAAGCATTCAACGAAAAGCTTCAAGCTTTCACTCTGAAAGTGGAATTCTGTCTAGCATTTGTTCAGAATCACTATTTTCCTGTGGCACAATGAAGAGTGATCAGGGAAGGGCCCTGAAGAGAAGGGGTCCAAATAGCTAGCTTTGGGCCATTGCGAACAAAGGGATTAGGCGTTTCTGTGAAGCTTCGGACAACATATGATGGAAAGCCTCAAATCGAGAGCTGCCCTCAGAAAAGACTGGCTTGAACCGAGTGCATGCACGAAAAAGTGCAATGAAATTACCAATTCGGTTTAAGGGACACCATTCAGCAGACATGCTATGACGAGTACTCTTTATTTTATGATATATTTGTTTTTCCTGTAAGTTTCGGACCTAAGTACAGGCTCTATGGTCCAATTCATAAGTGGAGTGTATATGAAAGAAAAATGGAAGACACCAACTCTTTTAAGACTCATTTTGAACCCATTTCGGAGACGAATGAAATCGGGCGACATGAGAACGTGCACGAAGCAAGTTCACGTGCAAATCATGCGAGGGCCTAAGGGGGCCTATCGCCATGCATCTTGAAATATATCCTCCAATATTGACGTCTATGGGTTTGGGAAATCCATAAACTTGAAGAAATCTCTGGGCGAGTACTTCTGGACCATGAAACTCGATTGCGTAAGAGCAATGAAAACGTCATGCCAAAAGGAACCCTGCAGTAATCTCATTTTCGGGCAACCCGAACACCCTTTCTCAATGGTGTCGGCGATTGCTCTTGGAAGTGCAACTCTAGAAAGGCCAAACATAGCCACTTGGGGCAACCCGAAATGTCCAGGATATCTTGGGGCTCATTGTGATTCATGACTTCAAGACTCATGCCATAAGTATTAAGTGAAATCCGATCCCTCAATTAACAATTCAAAACGAAAACGGACTCAAAAACGTGGGCCATTGCCGTGGGCGCCCACAGAGTGGTCGGCTAGTAGGTGCTCCAGCTGTCTGCCATTTTTGGAAACAAAAAAGCATTCGATAACTGTGTTTTTGACCATGTACTTTTCGAGTACTTGTTTTTTTACAAGTAACAATAAAGTTAGCGATTCTTCCTCCTCGCTGTTCACCTCATCAAATCTATCCTGATGATCTTTGTCTCCTCGCACTTCCTGTATGATGAAGTCCGCCCTTATACGAACAGCATCATCATAATAATAATTCTGATTGAACGTCGATCTTCGCACTTGGAAATTGCCGTTTTCCGGCTCATCCGAATAGACCACATCCGCCAATAGAGCTGTCAGATGCTCTAATCAAACTTTAGCGATGTGTTCTTTGTTTACTTCAGGTCTCATTTGATGCCTGAGGTGCTTCCCTAACGCATCAACGATGATCCTCCCCCACTTTATGCCCTTAGAAAAAGTCCGTTTCATTTTTTCCTAACAGAATTTCAGATGAAATATGCCAACACAACCCTGCCTCCATGGTTTGACTATCTGGAGCTTGCAGTAAATTATTGTTGTATGACATATATGGCAATCACATTACCACTGTATATTGCCGTTGTAACGATTATGTTCGTTCTCAGGAAAAGCTCCTATAAAGGTTAGTTGTCGAATTAATGGCGTTTCCATGGAATTTTTCTAATAGAATTCTTTCCAGGCATGTTTTATCGGATTTTCATGGTTGGTGGGGTGATTGATATTATCGCAATTGTGAATTCTTATCTTGGAGCTATTTTTCCTTCAAGAAGGTACATCACCTGCCAATAATAAGAAATCAATTGCTTTTTTTATATGAAAAATGTTTCTGTTAAAATTAGAGGGCGGAAAGTAAGAAAATCGGATTTCTCTATCAGCAGGGAGTGTCTGAAGGGCAAAAAGCTGTACTAAAACTCACGTGAAATGAGAAATTCATTCAATCACGACGACGTTTTTTCATGGGGACAAAGTCATTACTCTTACTTACTTACTTTTCTGTTCCAGTTGGTTTCTGGAGTTCTACATGTCGCAAGGTACCACCTTTGGTCACGTCTATGTAATCATTGCTTGGACAACTCGTTGTAGTCAAGGATGTACCGTAACCCTATTGGCCCTGAACCGGGCCACAGCCGTCTGTAGCCCCATCAGGCACAAGCAGGTATGTGCATAAATAAGAACAACAAAGGGTTCAATGCTAATAAAAACGGAAAGAAACGGAAGTTCGTAAGAAACGAGTAAGTTATAGTGACAAGTAATGACAGTTGACATTTTTCTGAAGTATAGAACTCTTTCCTAGTGCCAATTTCAATACTCAGTCAGACTGAAGTAACGAGTCACTGGAAACATTGGAAACATTCAGTCAGGGAGACCAACTCATAGGAGGGATGGATTCGAGAAAGAACCAAAAAGCATGGGTCCAACCCACATACGCACTAAGAGGGCAGCTTAAGGACTACAACAAAAAGAAGTATACGAAACGGGGAACTCGTAAAGGTCGATGTGGGTGCACTTCATGCATGAAAGGCATTCGTAATTTGATAAAACTGAATAACAACCAATCAGAAGCAGGAAAAGCTATTTCTAAGCTAATTAATTCGATATCTATGTACTTGCCGTCATGTATGTTCAGGGGGTGGAATAAGAGCAAGCCAGCTGGGTGCACTCCTTCAAAGGCCATAGAGAAAAATATGGGATCCCGAGGCACTCAGATTATAAAGGCAAGCAAAAAAGCGTATACTGGTAAAACTAGAGAGTCATAATTATGTAGGGTACTGCACTGAAGACAATTCAGAGGGATCCCGAGGCACTCAGATTATGAAGGCAAGCAAAAAAGCATATACTGGTAAAACTAGAGAGTCATAATTATGTAGGGTACTGCACTAAAGGCAATTCAGAACAAAAAGGTGCTTTATATGGGCTCGCCAGGGCTTTCAGTCAGTTTGACTGCACTTCCTTGATGAGTTTAATTACGGATTTGAGAAGTTGCATTGATTCCCTTATGAAGGGAGGTGAACTGAGAGCGTGCCGTGTCATCGTTGATCAGTAATTTTTTACGTACTTTTTGCTTACTATTTCCAAAAATCGATATGAGGAAAACTGGATGGCCTCAGGGTACAGAGCGCTAGGAACTACGTCGGCCATATTTACTTTTTAGGTGCAGCAAATGAAATGAATTGAATGAAGTAAGCTCACAAAAAGTAACGATTTAAAGGAGACCCCGGTTCTACTCTAACTTTATGGTTGATTCGAAGCAACAGCATCTTTCTGTTACTTCTATTCCCGATAGTCTTTATGTAAGCACAACAACTGTCCGTAGAACGATTTCTTTCGTCTTAAGAATCATTCATTCTGATTCGCTCTCTTGTAGCAGAAGGACTGTCTGTTCCTTTTTCCAAAATTGGGTTTTTCCATAGAGCAACACATTATAGTGTTGTTGTTACATGGTCCTACCACCATTTACGTACTTCAAAATAGCCTTGTACTTTGAAGACATCAAGACTGGACTTCCTCTTGGAGGCATTGTCCTTGCTCCTTTCATCCCTCCTTCATCGAGTTTTAGTAAAATTGCGATTCGAACTCTTTTCGAAGCTTCAAGCAAAAATATTCCTCAATCCGAGAAAAACTGAAGACATCCCCACAGGCGTTCTGAGACTGAATCCCTATTATCTAAACAGAAATCTTTGAGAATAGAGAAAATATATGGTTTCAGCTCGCTCCAGTTTACGTGGAATCCCCATAGCCAAAATGGCAAACGGTGGAAATTCATGTTTTGAATTCTAAAATCGCACTATGTACGTCACTGTTAGAACTTGGGCAGATTACTCGTTGAATTCCAGCTTTTTTTTGAGGAGTGCTTTGCCACCCAGATTGAAAAAATATTATTTAGTTATCCGGAAAAAGGGGAAACTGTAGTGTTAGAAGGCCCAATCACGAGACAAATTTTCCCCGAAAGAAGTCAAAGAGGAAATTCTGCTTCCTCACGGACGAGTTAGCTGAGGACTAGATAAGATGCTCGGAAACAGAGGACATGGGTAATCCGACTGCTTTTCAAATTTCACTCTTGGCCGGCCTCTATTCATAAACCCGTATCTCAATGATCAGGTCTTCTGCTATTTTGCAGTTACAAGTCTAACAGAGCATACTTGTGAATGGTACATTTGCTCACTTTGCCAGAG